GGTTTATCCAGCCTAGTATTCATCTCTCACAGTGGCAAAAGACAATTATGGTTAGGAGAAACATATGACTTTCTCCCTTTCCACAACCATTCCCGTTGTACTTTTCCAGTACACAGAATCATTGTGCTAGGGATTTAAAAGAGTACTTATCGGCTTAGTCCTTCTAGTGCCTACTGAAAGACCTGCTGCCCATGAACTCTTCTAAGCCATTTCTGACCCTGCTGATACTGTCTGCCTCCACATCATTCTGTGGCAACGAGTTCCAGGAGTTCTCTAGACATTGTGCAAGGTCTATTTTTATCCATTTTAAACCGATTCACACTAGTTTTGAGTGCCCCTGGGTCGAATATTGTAAGATTCTCCATTTAGCTTATCTACCACCAGAGAACCATTAAGTGTGTCCTGAACTAACTATAACAGAAAGCCACAGCTTCAGCTCTGTGCATTTTAAATGTGATTTCTCAAACACCAGATATGCCATAAGCTGGAGATTTTTAATGAAATGAGGTAAGGGTTAAGGATGATTACCCATTATATTTCCCAATGTTTCTCACAAAAATAAGTCAAAGAAAAACTTCAAAGTCGAACATGCAAAGCCAAGTCAATCATATAGCAAGCACCTTTGTCTATGAGACGCTGATCCAACCGTTCACAACAGCCAGAGTTTGGAATTTTTCTCATCTGAATCTGACCTTGTCCTTGACTCACATTGAATTTTTGTATTTCCTTATTCAAAGTTTGAATTTTGTATTCAAAATTCAGCCACTACCTGACAAGCAGTTACTGCCTTTTAAGAATGTGTTTAAACTGTCCTGAATAAAAGATTTTGAATACAATGAAACACCTCCTTTCTCTTCGCAGCAGGTATTGGCATACTCTGTGAAAGGTATGATTCTTAGTATGTACCAAATTATTTTAATAAATACAAATAAATTACCAGCAAGTCTCTAAAGAAGTCTCTGAAGGCTACTACAGCCAAAGAGCAGACAAAACTGCTCAGATTGAGAATGCAAAGGCAACTTTAAGTCACTTCTTGCCATGCCTAGATTACATAGGTTTTGAGCCAGTCCGTCCCACTCTGTGTACTGGTCTGAAATGATAAAACTGATAGAAGCCTGCTCTAAATTTTCTTGACCTGGAAGAATAGCAGGTACTCATATAGAAACTACAGATCACCAGCCTGCAAGTGCACCTTGAGCTACATCCCTTTTCCAAATCTGAGTGATCTCCTTGTTTCCCTTTTACTAGTTCTCTGCTAGGTAAGGATCTGTAAAAACAGGGATAAGGATATAGCCATCGTTTGACCACAAATATTTCAGCATATTTTCCGTTCAACTGTTTTTACAGTACACAGAAAACCAAAATTGCATAATGCAATATAAATTAAACTGGACCTTCTTAATGCCAGGGTCAGCAGCAGACTCTTCAAAGCTAAGTAATTTTCACAGTAAAACACCATTGCACAATGCCTGCTTAAAGAATCACAAACATAGTCCCTTTGATGGGTGGTCCAGAGGGTGTTATGAGGGCTACTTCCCTCAAAATGTGCTCAGTCACTGTATAATCATTTACTTGCTGTTTGCAAATGTTAATTCAGGGTCAAGGTAACGGCCCTCTGACACAACACTTAAATTCATATAAAACCATGCCCTTTTAGCATCCATTTATAGCTTTGATGAGCTACTCAGATTTAAAAGCAGACTACTGGCTTTATCAGAGCACAGGCAGAAGTGACCTAACACCGCAAACAAAATGCTGCTTCTAGCTTCAGCTTTTTTCCTAACACTACTGCAGTGCTCTAATGCCCTAAACAAAACAAGCATTACACCTGCAGACTGTAATACTGTTGAAACAGATGCAGGAGTGGCCCTGGATTTGGTCAACAGACATCGCAGAGATGGCTATGTTTTTGGTTTATTCCGTGTTGCTGATGCACACAAACAACATATAGTAAGTATCAATTTAAAGGCTGATTTACACAAGACTGTGATTTTAAAATAATGAGCCAGATCATTAAAAGTTTATGTTTATTGCTTTTAACAGAGCAATGTTGATGTAATTTAATGAATCAGCTCTGATTTACACTATCTCAGTATTCATTTGTGCATGATATACTTACTGTACATAAGCTTAATTTTGAAGGATGCTGAATGCCCTCTATTCTCTTGGCTGACAGGATGTTGGCATAAGAGATGCTCTGAACAGCTTTGTACAACACTGAAAATTAATCTGTCCTGTCTGTTGTTAGGTCTCAGATGTTATGTTCAAAATTTATATTTAGAGGATTTCTTTAACCTGTGAATGTCTAACATTAATTAGATCAAGGTATCCTGCAAATTAGTTATTTTGTTATTATCTTAGTTTTGGAGACAGCTGGATAACCTGAGAGAAGGGGAAAAGGCAGAAGAAGACAAAGGAGGTGAAAAACCCACTCTGCAAAACAGGGGAAGGGCTGGATAGAGAAATAGAGAATCCCTGTCAGACACTTCCTATTTCTCTTTCTGTTTCCTAGAAAGGATAGATCAGCCTTTCTCAATGATTGCCTAAATGCCAAAGCAATTCAACAGCACAAAAAGCAACAGAATACACAATTTCTTTAACCAGTAAATAAAAGAGAACAAGGACATGCAGATTTACTAATGCCCCTGGATACCTTTTAGCTGCCTGGCTATGAAACTAGAATCCAGGCACGCGTGCACAGTTTAAGAAGTGTATTCCACATCTCAGTATGGCAACTGAAAACCAGGCTAGTTTTTCATGGAGCTGCTTAAGACAAGGAAAAGCTCAGAAAGTGACCCAAAGCTACAGGTCTTCAGGTATACTTCCAAAAACCATGATCTTGCTGTTCAAAACCAAGCATGCGGCAAGTGATACTACTGGGTTTTACACACTAGCCAGGGAGTTAAGCAGCTCATCTAGGAAGCAGCCAGGCTGCTCCGGCATTAAAAGATTAAAACTCTGAAATCTCCCATCCTTGAAGAATGCTACTGCCACAGAACTGTGTGTGCCACCCTTCTGAAGTGGAGCCACTGGGCAGGAGGACATGCCAAATTCATTGGATGAATGAGAAAAACCACTGGTGTTTCTAAAAAGAAGAATCTCAGTGTTTCTATCTTTTAACCAATTATTGACTATGTAAACTATAGAACCATAACTTGGAATAGGGACCTGAGCTGAAGATTCACACTTCCACATGAATGCTTACAACCACTAGACTGCCACGCTTTGATTGCAAGCATGTTTTGCTTTGTAGCCATAATGAATTTTGCCATCTTTGTAGTCCAGGGCTACAGCATCATCTATCCTACAGAGTCTACCAGAACAGAAAAGACCCTTCTACTTTTCTTACTGCTAAAGAAGTCTCCCTGTAAGGACTCTGTCCCTTCTCAGACCCAAAGCCACCAGTTGTGGTCTCCAGCATATTGATCATGTACACTCTTGTGAAAGAAGTTATGCTGGCTCCATTGCCATGATGACATTAAAAATAATTAAAAAATAAAACAGCAGAACATTATTTTTACTATCTCCATGCAATAGTGTGCATCAAGTCTATCACATCAACCCTCTTAGAACTTCAGCAGAGTAATTCCTACCAGCTGGATCTCTACTGGGTGCACATGGGAGTTCTAGAAGCATAAGGTACTCAAACATTCACACTAGAACAGTTCTGGGCTTGTACAGTGCAGAACTCTAGTGCCCAAGATGCTTTTAAAACAACTAAGAAGGCACCATATAAGACATTTTTTTTCCCAAGAGCTACCGAGCAGTTGAACAGAGGAATTTTCTACTCTATGTTTGGATGTAGACACTTAATTTCACCCAAGCTCTGCTTTAGGCTTTATTGAATCCAAATGCCTCCTGATGAAGACAATGAATATTTGCCAGAGATGAACTGGCTTTAGCATTTCTCAGGTTTGGATGAGAAAGTGAATGCATTTAGTCATTTCAGTTTTAGAGGGCTCCTAGTGAATAGCACATTCTACAAAAGTCTATTTTCGCTTTCCTTCAGTGCAATTCCATAAATACAAACCAGACAAAAAAGTCTTTCTCACTGACTCTGTTCTCTTCTGTGTCTGAATTTTACTAATATGTTGACTAGTAGCTTGAAATTTTGGTGATTTATTAAATAAAATAGAAATACTAACTACCCCTAAGCAGAGAATAATCATGTGCTAGTGGGCAGGATGGGTGTCCAGTACAACTATATTCTTCTCCTGATTCTGCCACTGAATAACATGTGTCTGTGCAAATCACCTAGTTGCTATTTTAAAAACAGAGATGATGCTAAAACATATGCATACAGCAAAATTAGTGTTCAACATGATGCTGGTGGACTCTCACTCATTAATATATTGCACTAAACTGCACTGATTCTTTCTCAAGGTCTCGTCTATACAGAAAACTCTGAAAAAGGAACCTGAATGGACAAAATTTCATAAAAGCTGGGGACACTTATTCACAGTGAAGGACTTGGAATAATTTTATCTAAATGACAGAATAAAATATGTCTGTGTTCATTCTGAATGTCCATACAGGGGTTGCATGAAGTTTAAATAATCCATTCCAAATGTGAATTGAGATTCATTTTCCTTTAGAAAAGTACGGAACTGTTCCGTGGGCCACAGATAACTCGTAACACCACATCCCATTACACTGGCAGCCAAATGCAAATTCTGATTCTCTATCCAATTTACTCAGGAGACAGAACATACTAGAAGAATTTCAGAGCTAGGGCTCCTGACTTTGTAGGTATTATTACAGCCTTCTTGCATCACTCCCTGAGTAAACTGAGCAAGAAGCAAAATTCTGAGAGTATCTGGGCACCGAGGTCATTGGAAATGGATGTAGCTATATAACTGCCTGCCTAGACAACTGATTTCCTAATAGACCAACATGTTCTATGAGAAAATCAGGAAGAGGGAATGGCAACTTTTTAGCACTGTCATTTTCCCTCCTTGATGGATGCCAGGTTAATAACAGACTCTTCTCACAGGTTCTCAACAAAAAGATAAAAGGCAACAGTTGTTAAGTTGCAGGGAGGGAAATTCTGACTATATGTAAGGCCCAAAAAAAGAAAAGTGGTTAAGTACTGGAACAGCCCAGAGAGGTTGTGGAACATCTGTCTTGGTGATATATAGAACTCGGCTGAATCTGCCTTTGAAGTTAGCTTTGCCTTGAGCAAGTGGCTGAACAACATGACCTCCAAAGAACCCTTCCAACCTAAACCCTTTCTACACTTGTCAGCTCAGAAAAACCTTAATAGGGAACTGGGGAAGCTACATTAAAGATTAAACATATCTACTTTAAAAAAAGTTTCTCTCAGACCAAACTTCTCGTATACAAACTCTTCCTTATCTGCACTTCTCTTCCAGGGAAATTCATCAGTCGTCTACTTAACTTTGGATGTGCTGGAAACTGAATGCTCCGTATTATCCAGAAGACATTGGGAATCCTGTGAATACAGTGACACCTATGCCATGGTAAGTAACAGCCCCTGGGCAAAGTCCTATGCCAATAGTGCATTAATTTGATCTTCATCTGAACTGCCCAGAAATTTCTGTGTCACAAAATCCCTAAGTGAAGACTATGCTTTAATATGGCTCACTGTAAAATACAGTCTATTGAATTCTAGAGTTGTTAAACATAAGCTAAAGGTTGGGGAAAGGGTTGACTCCTCGAATAAGTGCAGCTTTATTTAACTATTTGTCTCAAAGGAGCTCTACTCTGCATTCCACTGCTGGTAGCAGTACTGCTGTTTTAAGAATAATTTGCTGGCAACTAAAGGGCACTAGAATTTTATTTTTTAAGCAGGTTCCTAGTATATTGGCCAGAAATACTAGTGTTGTATTTTGTCAGTTTTCTGTCATAGCATTTGTGGTATGACAATGTGAAATATTGGTAGTGTTATTACACATATGATATGCAGCAATACTTGTCTTTTATTGACTCGGTCCAATGATGCCAGCTGGGATGAGAACAACCAGTCCAAATCTTTATTTAAATAGGAGAGTAGTGATGCTACCACACAGGACAAAGCAGGAAAGCCATGAGGAGAGTTGAGGAGAGAGAAAGTCTGCTTATTTAGATGGGGAAAAGAAATGGAAGAAAAGGTCCATCCACTTTTTGATAAAGTTTTATGTAACTTTGAGTATCTCTGGCATCATACTTTCCCCTGCTAGCTAGTAGTACCTTACTGTCAACAAGTATAAGAGTGAGTGAGAAGGCTGGTTTAGTTCTCCATTGTCTACTCAATCGTGCACACTGAGAATTAAAAGAAAGGCTCTTGTAGAGAGAGATCCCATTTTATCTGAACACAAATTTTGAGTGGTATCAGATCAAACATTCCATTAATGACCACATCTGTTATTCTTAGAAGTACTGTACACTGAAAGGAGGCACAATTCCTATGATCACCTACATCCAATTAAATCCAGTGAAAATAACATCATAATCACATATTCTTTTTCCCTCTCAGGACTTTGGGCAATGTAAGATTATCACATATACAAGCCAGCTGCTGAAGAAACCTCAACTATATGGATTTAATTGTACATTAAGTCCAGGTAAAATAACCACTGTCGTAAGCCAATCATACCTCAAACCAGCCCTAGTACCAAGTTACAAGTCTGTGCAGTCCTAGCGTATGGTAACCATAACAGATTTGTTCATCTGCTTGCAATTCATATTTTAGATAATTCAAATGGAATGTTAAGAATGAGTAATAGAATTAAAGTTACCCTACTCTTCTAAAGCAGACTTTATTAATGTCAGATGATATCACCATTCCAGTCCACAAAAACATGATCATGAATATCAGAGAAAAAAAAAGTAAACTTGGAAAGAATGTCCATTTGGGGTGGTAAGATTCTAAGGTGGAACTAAAAGATTTATAGGAATATTCATTTTCAAGGTTTGGTTGGGGTTTTTTTGTTGTTGTGGTGGTGGGTGGTTTTTTGGTGTGGTTTTTTGTTTGGTTGGTTGGTTTTTTTTCCCCACGTTACAGGACAAACCCATATTTGTGGAGTGAGGAATGTGTATTTTACTTGCAAGGAAACACTTGCATTTCAGTTTCTCATTATGAGTTCACATTAAAGACATATGCACACTCCCAAGAGTATTAATATCCATTGCAATACTAGTAAATTCCCTGTTTTCACAGTTCCTCCTGATTTATTAAAGTGCAAAGATTGTCCTGTGAAAGTTGAAGTCTTGGAAGTCACTGAGCAACATAAAAATATTGCTGCAAAGGCCCTGAAGAAATTCAGCAGTGAGGGTAACCACACAAACTACTTCGACGTGGACAAAGTTGAAAAGATTTTGAAGATGGTAAGCAGCATTTTTTCCTAGAATTACTTATAAATGACAGATCTTTGCGAGCAGGTCCAAAACCATAGGACCAGAACTCAAACACTTCTAGGATCAGAACTGTTGCTTGTCACCTCTCAGTATAAATCATCTACTTAAAACTGAAGGTATTCACACCACCACAATTTCTTGTTGGTAAATAATGGAGACCTTCACTTAAGCAGCACCAACACATGTCAGTTCTGGACACCACTGTAATGAGGTCCCATGGCCCCTGCCGTAACACATGTTGATCTTGGAAACAACCTAAATTATAGCATGCCAATCCCACCTCCCTGCAGCTTTTAATAGTGCTCAGCAACTTCACGGTGTTCTACACTGTAGTCCCATGCAGGATATATCCCTGCTCCCATTTAGCAAGTGGCTGTTTTCAGATTGCCTGGATTCATGGATTTCTCCATAAATACTTTGTCTTTGCATTCTGCCATCTTTAGCTACAGTGACAATTTAAATTCTACCACTGGATTTCAACAGACTGCATAACTCTCAGAAATAATGAATTGCGATTAAAAATATACCATAAAGTATGTGCATCCATTTTAACCAGTTTAGGCAAAGTAGTGAAACTTGTGTGCACCACGTGCTATGGACATCTTCAACACAGACTTGAAATAAACTCCTACTACCATTGGAAATTAAAATAAAACACCTCTTTATCAGTTTTAATAGGATCACAAAGGCCTTCTGCCATGTTTTTATGGAGTAATGCCTTCTCTATGAGTCACTGACAACAGAGAAGGCAACAGTCTCACAGTAACTGGCAGAATTTCATCCCAAATTAGCATCCACACTGTAGTACTATGCACTCCCGTCACTGGAAAGGGGTGGTTGCCATCCAGTAGATATCTGCATTTTCACAGAAGCAGCAGTTCAGTTTAGGGAGAAGACTTTAAGGATGCTGCTTCCTAAAAGTAACAGGTCTTATAACATCCACATACTAGACAAAGAAATAAAGGAACCATTCCTGGAACTCAAAGGTGTGAGGCAAGTAAGGTATAAATTATCTATTTTCCTTACTGAATACATGAATACATATGAACATTTGAACAGCACATTATCTGAAAGCATGAGGAAGACAGGATTTTGGCAACAATATGATGTATGCTTGCTTTTAAAACTACAGGACTTTAAATACACCTAGTTACCACTTCTTGTTTGATCTCTTGGTTTCAGACTGGCTCCCGTGAAGGTCACATTTTAGGATTCTCTATAAAAGAGACCAACTGCTCCAAATCTGCACTACAAGCAGATCAGGCACTGGAATGTGATTTTCTGGATGACTGGCACGCTGTAAGTAAAGTCTTAGAATGAGAACTGATACAATGGGTGGCACCAGGAAGATCTTTCCACAATATTCCCAAGTGTTTTTTACAAGCATACATCCAAACTCAAAATTAAAAATCCAGCATGTCCAAGTCCAGTTTGTAATTTTACAGCTTCTACTTTTTAGTCTATAAGGAGCCAATGTGAACTCTTAAATCTAAGTGGAACTGGAGTCAGGTATACTACTGAGCTAGAGCAGAGCTTTTCAGTTTGGATCTGGCCTCACATTCAAATTGTGGCCATTCCTTAGTAAATCATTCATGCTGTTTTCATAAAAACTTTTACGCTAACATGAGTCATCGATCTTGAAAAAGTACATGTATTATGTCACCTCAGTGAGCTCAGAGTTCCTTTTCTTTCACTCTGCTGCAGGGGAACAGAGAGTGTAATAATTCAGGCTTGTCTGCAGATTACTATCAAAGTACTCTCCTCACCTCACCTTCCCATTACAATAATAGTCTACATCAAAGAAACAACTAGGCAAGATCATAATTTCAGAATAAATTATTTCCCAGAAATTAAATTGAAGGAATTAAATAAAAATATGGAAAAAATAAAGCATGTAGAACTTCTGGTTTATCGACATCCATTTTCTTCTCTGGCTTTTTATACTCCAGAAGACTGGAAAAGGTCGTGATTGAACTGATAGCAGAGCCAAAAGTTCACTGGAATGAAGTACAAACCAGCTAGAGGTTTTGAATTCTATCTCAAAGCTGCCCCTGGTGCGTGTGTGTAACATTCTATTAGCATTTGCAGTCATTGACTGTAACAGGCCACTAATGGCCCAACCATATATCCAGATAAAGCATCTGCTACATAGAGTGCACACAGAGCCCCTTCCCTAATTTCTGTCCTCTTTCACATGAGCAATTCCACACGCAACGAAGGGAGAGCAGGTGACAGTCAGAGCAAACAAGATGCTAAGGGAAGTAATGCTAAAAGATTACAACAAATTACTTTCCAAAAAATAGGTATGGAAGAGACCTCTACCATGAGCTTTGTCTGAACCCACACAGGTACACAGTGTCTGGTTTTGAGGACTTGGACCAAAATTTCAGTATAGCCTAGTCTGAGCAGATGTTTGACAAGCAAAGACAGAAAAGAAGGAACAAAAATCAGTCACCCACAGTACACTTATTTTGGAGACATCAGTAGCTGACCAATTTCTTACAAACATCAAAAGAGAAGTAAGAGGGAGAGTAGTAGCCCTCTGGTGAAGTGTCCTTCACTGTCAAGAATACTCAAAAATGGCATATATTTTAATCATTATCAATCACTGGCAAGCAAAAGCTCAGGACCTGGCTAAGTTATATAAACATACTTAGGAATCAAAGGAACCAACTTAACTTTTAAAATGTTGAACTATCAGTAGCTTCTATCAACTCCATCACAAGAACCCAGATGTGCTTTTTTTTTTCTTTCCCTTTTGCTTAGCACGTGGGATTCTGCAGGGCAAGAATTATCAGTGATCCAGAAGAGCCTGACGGAACAGATATAAGCTGTGAAATCTACCATCCCTGGGTCAGTACTCACTGAAATGTCTCTGCTATACCCTCACGCAGGCTACAACAACCTCACTTAGTCCTGTCGAACCGGCGATGGCAACGGTTGCTTATGTCTCTTTATTATTGCCTGGGTGTGATGCAGCGCATCAGGACAGACTGGCTTTTGGTGGCCAGGTCAATGAGAGGAGGAATTAGAACTGAGCTGTCCCTACTACTCCCTCCGAGGGTGTCTCCATTCAGTCCAATCATACTCCTTAGTTAAAATGAGGAAAGATTGGCAAACAAGTTCAAAGGAATTTTAGAGAGCAAGAGGAGGGGAGATGATCTTTGTCATATTTGGTATCCTAGTTTATATTACAACAGCTACTCTAGTGTCAGTTTTACTTGGTTTGGATCCATCACAAATTTTGCTCGGTTGGTTGTATCATTTCCTTTTGTTATGGTGTAGTATTTCCAGATGATTTTCAACAATCTGGCATTTTATCATCTACTCCTCCTCTTCTATCTTGAAAAAGAACAGTTTTTTCCCCTTACAGATCACCAGAACCGGAAATGTAAACCTACTAACTCCCACCTCTCACCACTTTCTTCTGTCCTATTAACATCTCACTTAATATTTCCTCCCTTGGTGTTTTTATAACGGCAGCATGACTATGGGCAAAGACGCAGACATTCAACTCTGGGAGAGCCACACAGACATACCCATCATCATTTTGGTCACAAACATGGACACAGACATCATCACAGACATGGATGCCCACCCTCTTCTCAATCCAGACCTGAAGGCCCTGAGCATAACCATAGTTTCAGTGAAGAACATCAAGACAGTCATGAAGGACCTGCTCCTCCTCCTTCCCACCATGGTGAACGACATCACCACCTTCACCCTTCTCACCACTGTCCTCCACATCACCACCCTCCTCCTCCCCACGATGGGCCGCATCCTCCTCCTCAAGAGGAACCATATCATCCCCCTTCTCCTCCTCCTGCCCAAGAGGAACCACATCATCCTCCTGTTGGTCCCCATCGTAGACCACACTGTCATCTTTCTCCTCACAGACCACATCACCACCATCCTTCTCCCCATCATAGACCACATCACCCTCCTCATCTCCACCGTCACTATTACAGACATCTCTGCAACAAGACAAGCATATCGGGAAAGTACTTTCCATTCCAAATAACAGGAACTGTCTATCGCATTCCAGTTCAAAATCAGCAGGATTCTCTCACACCTCCCACTGCAAACTTTCCTGAGCTGTCCCAAAACAACTATCACTACTCCAGCACTGGTGAGGGTATTCCCTTCACTGGCCCCACTCTAAAGAAGATGCCAGAAGTTCTAGGTTTTCCAGATCACCCTACACAATCAAAGTCATGCCCAGGAAACCCAAAACTTGTCCTTCAAAATATTTTGCCTTTATTTCCACATAGCTCCATGGCAAAAAATTCTCCTACCTGACCTCAGAGAAAGATGGTCCTGGCTTGAGAGTTGCAGGGCCAATGACAGCTGTACAATGAACGAAAACAGCACGTGGAGAAGGGGGGAAAGCATACAGTTTCTAGGGAGGAGAAGCACTGAAAAAATGATTAAGACAGGTATTCCAACCTGCCTCTTGTTCCCAGCTATCTCAGACTCCATGTAACATAAAGGCTTAAAATTCTGAGTCCCTCAGAGTATGTGAATGAGTACAAATCCCCCCGGCAAACAAAACTCCTTTAGTTCTAACAAAAAGGAAAGTTCCCTACTCGTGAAAACTACCATCTAAAATCTTTCATTTTCTCATCTTTCATAATTATAACATACTTCTCTGACAAAATCCGACCTAGAGGATATTTGACCACCTTCCATTAAAAAAGATCCACAGCACTGCATTCACACTTTATAAAGATTCAAAGAAAATAAAAATATGTACTTTTTTTGTCCTTGACACAGTTGCCAAAGTTTTGTCTTTTTTGTTACTATGGATGTTTAGCTGCACAGTGAACACCCCTGAGGCATGCTCTAGCATACATTGACTGATGGGGGTTGGGTCACCACTATTATCTAGAAGAGGTCTGAGAAGAGCTGATGACTTGTGTGGCAGTACAGGGTGGCCTGCACAGGTACTTCCAATTGCTACAGTTGTTGGGGTGATATGCCTGCATTCAAGCACAGCCCTTTTCATGATTGCTCTCAGGAGAGGAGAAAAGCAGATGCATGCAATAACTTCTTCATGTAAATGTTTTCTTTATCACTGAATGTTGATCACTGGAAACTAAATTGGGAGAGGGAGGAAGAAGGAATACTGGTGTCTCTATACTCTAGCCCCATCAAGGTAAAGTCCACTCAGACAGAGTTGGGACCCCCAAGAGTTAGTTCAGAACAGTTATAAGCAAGAACATGGGATCAATCTCAAAAAAATTACTAATTTAGTCCTCGAAGCAGCTTTTTAATGGCATAAAGTAAAATACAGTGTGAGAGCTACACTGGAAAAAAAACAAATTTTTTTTTGGAAAAAAACAAAATGAGGACAGCATTTTGTGTAACCGCGTGAAGGTTGTCTCATTTCTGAAGTGCATTATCATGTATGAACAACCTTACTGCTGGCATGGTTTATCCACAGAGTCTCTAAAGTGTGTTTTCTTTAACCAAAACTTGTAGCAAGACACAACTGGAACATCCCAAGGTGTTCACAGACTCAAAGCACAGCTATTTGGGGCTCAAGACTGGAGACAAGCACCAGATGTTCCCAGCTAGCTCTAATCCGCCTCTGCCAGACCCAGGCAACATTACCTCATCCCTTGTTCTCCGACGTCACTTTCCCTATCTGCAATGATAACAAAACAATACGAAGGCTGACTAATCCATGGTCCAAAGGCAGTCTCCACGTGGTGGCAAAGGTGGACACTTCCAATAGTTGCATGAAGGACAAGGATTATCAAGTGTTACTGAAGAGCTGAGTGACACTCAATGATATGCCTCTGTCCAAAGACTTTTTAAAAGCATGTTCTGACTTCTCAGAACTATTTCAGTCTGAACACTAAACAGATCGCTACAATTTACAGGGCTGTTGTCCAGAACCAGAACTTCATTGACACTCTGACCTTCTTGGGTGTTTTATTTAAGCCTTTTAAAATTCATTTTCAGTAGCAGGTTAGATGTTAAGAAAAGGAGCCAGAAAGCTACATTTTGCTTTCTCTCTTGCTCAGGGGCCATCCCACTTGGTCTAAACCCGTTCCCAGCTGCAGCCATTTAGCCTGTTATCTTGACGGCAGGTGGATAACCTTAGTGTCATTCTGGTGACCACACAAAGTTTATTTAGATAAACTCAGAAGTTTATTTGCAGTATAAACAGGGTATGATGAGAAACAACCAACCCCAGCAACCCACTCGTTCTGTTTACCTAACTACTGCTCCTGAAAAACAGAAGGGGTGACTAAAACCCTGTCAGGCATTCCTTTTCCATTTGGTTTTTAAAGAGCCTTCTAATTCAGGGGGCCTTTTTTGTCCAGTTATGAAGCCTTTCATTGTACTAGCACTCTGCTGTAGTTTTTTCTCTAGCAGAGCCACTCCTCTTCCATTTGAGTTTTTGGACTGTGATGACCCTGATGTCTTTAAAGCTGTCGACACAGCGCTGAAGAAATACAATGGAGACAGGGCAACTGGTAATCAGTTTGCTCTATACATGGTGATGGAAGCCAAGAGAACTGTAAGTAGACTTTGCAAAAAAAAAAAATCATGTTGGAATTGTTTATGCTCTCTGAATCAGATTATCTCCATCTCGTTCATGAGAGCAAGCATGACAGCAAAGTGTCTTCCAAAACCGTTTTAAAAAATCAAAGAAATGACTTGCACAGTAAGACACTCGTTACCATGACAAGCAGGGATGTATATTATGTTCTTATCAACGGAACTCTGTGTGCTGGGGAATTGCTTATTAACACAAGGACGAAAGAATCGAAAATTTCTATCACTAATACAATTTGTCTTACTAGTCCACTCTGTTTTCTTCTTTCTTTGTCGGGAATTTTACGCCTTTCCATCATCTGTAAGGTTTTCAGATCAATGGCAAAACCACACTTACTAAAAAACTTGAATATTATCTTGGCCTGGGGAGAGCTAGTCTGACACATAAAAAAAGAATGACCTGATAAAATTTGGCAATAGTCCGGACAAATTATTTGTGCATATTATTTGACTGACTCTAGTCCTGAGTCACAGTTCTAGCTAAAAGCAGTAGGTGGTATTTTAGTCAAATGGGGCGACAGCTAAAATTACAGAAGGAAAAAGAATGAAACATGATCCTTTGCCTGGAGTCCTTCTGTATAGCTTAATCTAACAAAAGAGTATTTACCTCTGAGAGGCATACAAAGATGATATTACCATAATAATGACAAGCATTACTTTACTTGAAAACAACATTAGCATTTTTTTTTCTACTGGATTGGATTTTCAGATGTAAGACACAAGAAAGCCAATGTCAGCGAGAGTATTTTGCACTCCAAAATCACAAGACACTTTTACCCAGATAGCAGTTGACCTCAGAAAGGGGAATTGCTAAACACCTTAGAGTAAACTTCCCCCCATCTCCTGGCACCCACCCTCCTGTTTTCCAACCGGGGAGATTTTAGCATGTAGTGACAAGGACTAAAACCTGGCAAACCCTTTCCACAATTAATATTAAACAAATGAATAGTCCCACTATCTTCACTGAACTATACACATCCTTAGTAACAGCCAACTGCAAACATCTTTATAGCAGAGCTGTAACACCACCTTCCTTTTGCTCATGTTCCCAAAGGACAGATATTAGTTTCAGTATTTTATCTTGAGCAATGTCCTATTTTTAAGAATACATATTTATTGCAATTATTATTCATCTTTCCTTCTCTAGATATCCATCTTTCCTCTTCTTAAAAGACCTGACATGGAAATCAATTATTACTTTGAATCATTGATCTGACTATGATGTGAAGTAAAAAACAGAAAAGAAATCTGCAACAGAGATTTCATCATAAGCGATATTCTTTTTCTAAAGAGTATAGATTTTACTCATCAGTAGTCTCACAATGTTGAATGCATTAATTAAATAGCTGGTTATTACATATTCATGTACATTCATTATTGATAAGTTAATAAAACATAAAAGCTGACTGGTGAAAGGCTGAACCTGCCCCAGTTAAAGGCATAGCTGTTCACAATGCAATAAACCAACGACAAATAACATACAGAAACAACGTCTTTTCTCACGTATTCCATTTACTCACTGAGCTGATTTATTGCAGATTTAGAACACTGTAACAGAGAACAAAATCTGGCTCTTTTTAAGTTCACACCCCAGATAGTATAATCTGATGCAGCTCCATAAATGTCAATTTATACCTGCTGAGGATTAAGTCCATTATATGTTTAGAGACCCTTTCATCCTCTTTTACAACCCGCACCCATTGTATCAGGCACCTCTACACCACTTCATAGTTGTAGCAGTACACAAGAGGAGTTGAGAGAGCACAGAACATAATTCTGTGTCTACACCAGCAAAAATCCAGTATATTCCACCCATGTCAGCTTGGTTTCACTTTCTTGGTACCGCTAAGGCAAGAATTATCATTTCATTCTCCCAGCAGTATCGTTTGAGGATAACGAGTGTTAAAATACAGCAACTGCCTGTGTTTGTATTTGAAAAGGCACATTGGCTGAGCATTTTTAAAGGCTGTAAAAGATTAGTAACTTCTGGCTTCATATCTCCTCTAAAGGGTGAACAACAAACCTTGCAGTGTGTTGTTACCTGAAGGCATAGGATCACTACTCAGTTTATGGCAAGGAGAGAGTGCGCCCTACTGATTTACCAGCAGCAGAAACCCTTCCACTGGCCAGGCCCAACTAGGGTTAATGTTCTGTCTGTATTTCATATCATGGGGTTCCAGAGACTAGCTCACGACCATCCAGCCTTTAATGCCTGTAGAAAAACTGCAGGCACCGCCAAAGGCTGTCTCCAGAGCTTCAGCCCTCTTTGCCCCCTTCCCCCAAGGAGGCAGGGCAGCTTGAGTACCCTGTTACCATAGGGTAAAGGCAGTTTGGGCACTGCCAGGCTGCCTGGGGGGCTGCTGGCTGCTGTTTCTGGGCTGCTGGTGGAGTTGTACAGAAGGAAAGAAGACAGATCTGGGAGGAAGCCAAGAGTGAGAGAGTCAGACAGGAGCACAGTCCAAGCTGGTAATCATGCTAACTATCCAAGCAAGCAACCCAAATTTGCTTATTTAGAGTACATTTGAATACAAAACCTAACCACTTGTTTCTTGTTTTAAAACCATTGGTACTACAAGTTGAAATGAAGGTAGTTGAGCGTACCATATCTGTTGTATCAACATATTTTAATTGTGGGTAAGGGCTCAGGAATACAATTACACAAGCTAATTATTGAATTACCAAGATTTGTGAGACCTTGCCTGGAGACCAGCAGCTAATCTGAAACCATGCGATAAAATACAAGGTAACAAATGAATAGTATTTACCTTTTGAAGCTCTTATCTTTTCACTTAATTTACTACTATGTAAATAGTGACATGCATATTGTTTTTATTCAGGCAGGTCCTGACACACAATTCTATGTGAAATATCGAATACAAGAAACCTCCTGTGCCACTGATGAAAACAAACTCTGGCAAGATTGTGATTACAAAATACCTGCAGAGGCTGTAAGTACCTGTCCTCCTTAAAAGTTCTCTGTGCAGAAACATCAGCATAATGACCAGGACTGCAGTTGGCAGAATTTAAGTTTGTTAGCTGTGCTGCTTCTGGGAGCTTATAGGACTAAAGTACAGTACCAAAATGTTTACAGCTCTAAAGGTAACCATCATAATTGTGACTTTACCATTATAATTCTGAATATGTGCAGAAGGGAACATTTCAGTGCTTCAATATGAAGGTTCACAATAAATTAAACATAAGATACATGCACTCTGAGAGCTGTAAAACTTTATATTAATTATGTATAATGGAAACTTGCACAACCAAATTGACTTGAGATCCACAGCAACAAAAATACTGGCATGGAAGCCACTACGGCAGAAAATATACCAGAGGGCATTTAGGAGGTGCAGTTGGGGCACATGTAGGGTGCAGGAACACTGCACATCTCTAGCGGAAGTCACTGTTATTTCCACAGTGCACAGTGCAAAGAAAGGGATAAGGTTTATGATATCATTTGAATCCATGTGAAATGCCACGGTCATTGCTGTGTATTTTGTACTCGCAGAGAGGAAATTAGGTAAATACACAATTTACACAGACTTTGTTTATCAGGATGTGTTCACTTCCATTATTCTGACTGTAAATTCTTCAGTTAATTAATACAGTCATGATACAAAGCAGTGTTTTAAATTACCTGCTCAGTTCATCCCCTACTCTCCTCACAATCAATAAAACCATCGCTTTTCCAGTAACAAAACCGCAAATTAGACATTACTATAAACGTACATATGAACTTTTTCTCCAGACTCAGTTTGCAACTGTCAACTTTGTTCAATAGCTAGAGGAATATACAGCACTCTATTTTTCTTCAGCGAGTTTAAGACAAATGTTGCCATATGTTTTTACAGGCAAGAGGAGAATGCACAGCTCAAGTTCACATGAATAATGATGAAAAACCAAGTAATGTTTCACAACGTTGTAAGATTTTTCCAGGTATGTAACTGTCTGGGGCAGCATTCACCAAGTATGTTGACAAATAAGAATGGGAAAAATATAATACTGAGACTTTCAGGTAATTTTGAAGGTAGTAGCTCTTTATCATTCTACGTAGACATTTATAAATAATCTTCCATAAGCAACTTCATGTTAAACATAAAATTTCACTTCAGTGTTCCAAGTATGTGGGCTAAGTCAGTGAAGCACTAGCAGTTTCTATCTAGGGTAGTGAAAACTGGCACCATGATTTCTGAGATGTCTAGCAACTTATCTTTGGGTTTTCGCTCCTAGTTATCTTGTTTAAAGCTTAAATGGCTCTACCTACGGCCAGCGTCCTTCCAGGAACTGCAGTACACAAGCTCCATGTTCTTCTGGAGCTCGCTTGGTTCAGCCGCGTTTGCAGGGCAATGGTGACACCTAGCTTCCAGTAAAGGTGTATGAATCCCACAGAGAAGGCACGGGAAATTTGCATTGGAATCTTTGCTTAGAAAGCTGAAAATCCATACATAAATTACATGAAGCATTTATTCAGCCTAAGAAGCTCATCTTTTCTTACCACATTATAGCAACTCTGAAAAAAGAATATACATTTGTTCAGCACTTATGAAAATGCTGAGACCATAGTCGGTTTAGAACGGGGTATACCGTTTTACTGCCTGCTTTGGGATTATTCCCTGAAAACACAGTCACGTTTTTCTGTAATGCGTATGTTTGTCATTACTGAGTCAAAATAAGGGATGCTAGAAATACGAAGGGCCAGACTTTGTTCAAGTACCCCGTGGAGAGCTAAGACTGTATCGTATTGATTACACTGAGGTATTCCAAATGTGCAGAGGAGCCAGATCAGTCCCAAAGGATTCAGACAGAAAGAGCGAAAACAGTAGACCCTAACTGGTGAGGGGTTTCCCCACCACGTCAGGTACCACCACACTGTTCAGCCTTCTTGGTGGAGCAGTCTGATCATGCTGACCCTGTGCTGGTTTCCTGGCCGGTGCAAACTGGCATAGCTCCATTAAAGCCGGTTTATGCCAGCTGAGGATCAGGCACACAAGTTTTACTTCAATTCCACAGAGACCACATATTGTCCCACTTTCATTCTCAAGCTCACTGAATCATGAAATTAATTTATGTACTGAACTATAAAATTAATTTATGAAAATCCAATCCATGATTACTAGAAAGGAAAGAGCATTAATAGGATTAGTAGTAGGAAACAGAAGTTTGAGCATCCCCATCAAACTTGTCATGCCACAGCCAATCCTGCTGGTTAAGCCTGAAGGTAACACCAAGTGGTAACTGGCAGCCACAGCGAGTAGCAGGGGGAGTTCAAACGCTGCAGCAGTAGAATAGTTCAACTGCAGTCCCTGAGGAGCTCAGAGTCAGAGGGCAGTTCACACGGGTGAGCCAAAACTCTCCTGCCAAAGCCCTCATCCTGAAGCATGGTGAGGACAGTAAGCAGCTGCACACAGTGGGTGAGCTTCAAAGAATCTCAAGAACATCTCCTTAGTTGTAGCCCCCGCTCGTTCTTCCCTGGCTGAATGAGAAATGACCCTTAACGGCGTCAAAACTACGTGCAAGGTTTTTTGGAGATTTAATGACTCACTTCTCTGAATGGAGGTCACTGCCGAAACCATGACCTGATCCTAAGGTCATGGATGGTCCCTATCATCACAAGCCAAAGCATGTTCCTAGGTACAATGAATGTTGTTGCAGGCCCTGAAACTGAAAAGTGGGGATTTTTGATCACTCCAGTTAAAAGCAGAAAGGTTCTTGCTCACTGAACTTTTTCTCTCATCGCCAGAAAGGAAAAATTAAAACCTGAGGCTGTTTTACATGAAGCTCTCTCTCTTTTTTTGGTTTGTTTCTTTTCCAGCTACGCCAAAGGTAACACTTACTGGGGCTACGTGTCTTGGATGCTTTCATCCTATATCAAGTGACAGCTCAGAAGTGTCAGAAATTCTGAAACAAGCCATTCAAAAGTTTAACCGGCACAGCGCTGAACCCAACCTTTTTAAGCTTGTGGAAATAAAAGAAGCTAAAAGACAGGTTTGTGTATGATTTTTCTCTAAATTTTACAAAGAAAAAACCCCAAACCACAAACCAGGTGCCTTGGTTTTTTTATGTACATGTTTCTGATCTTAAGGTGGCTTATATTTCACAATAAAAGCATATGAAATGCATATATAGTAAATAATTCTCTTGATTTAGAAGGAATCGTAAACAGTTCTTGGATTTTCAGAGTTGTCAGCTTTACAGACTGGTAGTAAACATATTTTTGCTTTATCTGCTGTGGCATCTAACCAGTATTTAGCACCAGTTTATTTCCATTCAATGCTGACACAGGCATCCTGTGCCATCTCAGATGCTCTCGCGTATTCCCCTTGGCCTTCCTGAAGCTCCAGCAGGAGCAGATATCTCCTAGGTTCTGTGCCAAAACTGCCAGCCTGCACAGATGTCTCATATACTCTACAGCCTCTCAAACAGCAGCAGGCATCTATGTTCTTGCAATGCAACAGGACCCATATGTCAGCAGCTGCTATACGCTATAGGATGGGTAAACCCCACATAGGAGAAACAGGTAAAAAAAAAAAACCAAAAGCCAGCTTGCCACTTGCTGAAAGATTTCTGCACACAGGAATATCTGCTTTGCAAGAAATGACTGCCTAGGTCGCAGAAATTCCATCATCTGGTATTCCATGCAACAATTATTTCTCTGTGAAAGGCTATCCTACAGACTGGTGTGACGGTGCCAGAAAGTAAAGTTTCTTATTTAGTTTTTAACTAGTCTATAACCTGACACCAAATAGACTCCCTTCTTGGAATGTGTATGTATTTACTTAGCCAAAAAGCATCTCCCGGTCTCATGTCAGTTTGACCCATGATTTAATTCAGACTGTCCTCTTTCTATTTACTGATGGCCACGATCCTCTTAGCTGAAAGAGAAGCTTACACAACACTTAAGCTACATGACAAAATGTCACAGACAGACTGCAATCCAGCAGCTGGAAAGAGATGTCACTTCTGGTCAACAGACTAGTCAGAACCCCCCCATAGATCTGGGATGGAAAGTTTCTATATTTGATTCTTATTTCCCCCTTTTAATCCAATGCTGCCTGACTCAACACTGTGACACAGAGAGATTTCATGGGTGAGAAGCAGTAGCCACAGTGAGGAAAACAACTGCTTCCTGGAGAGAAAGTAAAAAAAAAAGGGAAAAAAGGGTCACAGATCTGGACAAAACAGCAGGCGGGGGAAGGTAAAGCCCAAGGCAGACACAATTATAGGTAGATGATAAATGCAGGGCACTCAATAACAAATGATACCAGCAGTATAAAGTTACATTATTCAGAATCTGTTTTACCATGTCCCATGCTCAGGAACAAGCACTTGCCAAGCTGTATTACTGTAGTCATCTATCTAGACCAGCTTCCTGTCACTGGGAGTAATAAGTTACAGATACTTTGGAGGAAAGTGCAAGAAAGCAAGCATTATGTGGCTGCAAGCTTGCCAGGAGAAGTGGAATCCAAATACAAAGTGCACGTCTAATATATCCATCACACAGTTTACTTTCTGTATCACGAGGACAAGATTTTTTTTTTGCTGTTCATGAATACTCTGGCTCAATGACTACAAAGTGATTTGATGGATGTAAGGCACTAGAAGACAGTTTTGCTTTATTTGCTAATCACATTTAATAGTTTAACTTCCAAGTTTGTATCAGTTTACATAATGTATGTCCTAAATATCTGTTCCAGGTGGTAGCTGGATGGAATTACATAATTAAATATGAAATCAAGGAGACCAACTGCTCCAAAGACCAATTTCAAGATTTAACTCCAGAGTGCAAAACCATTTCTACAGGTGTAAGTAATCTTCACAATCTGTTTATCAAGAAAATACCATATTAAAAAATAATTTTTATAGTTCTACTTCAGTTTGTGAATGAAATTTAAATCCAGGCTTATAGATAACTGTCCATTCATGCAATTAGAACAACCACATCTTCTGAATCAGTGACTAAGATGACCACTGAAATGTTTACAGATGACTCTATAGAACCTAAACAGCCTCACCAAAATAATAAATCCCTTGAGATGTTCCTCTCCATACACTCAAGGAGCTACTCAGGTACTATCCAAAAATCAGTAATTAAAATTAGCACTGTGTTTCCATCTTAAGACATATCTTCTAAGAAAAGTGAGTAGCTGAACTTAACAAGAGTCCAAATAAAAGAGCTTAAAAAGAAATTTATTAACAAACATCCATACTCTGGCTAAACTGTGCTGCAAAACCAGGTACTTTCTTGGCTTCTGTGACCTGGAACAGAACTAACTGTACCAAAAATAGAGGGTTGCTCTCTCAATCCACCTTTCTGAACCAGCTCACCAGGGGGTCATACAAATGCTTCTGCAAATACAAGGTAGAGGGGAGGAAGTAGAGTCGAATGAACAGTGATGGTAAATGGGAGGGGAGGAACCCCAGGAGTCCTGACTCCATCTGTTTTGGCTGTTGTAGAAGTGCACTGTGGAGTGTGACATTCAAGAGCCTCTCCTGTTTGAAAATTACTCCCTGGATGTCTCAAGAATGTTTCAGAATGTTGCAGAAGCATCGATCAAATAAAGGAAAGAATGACAACACTGCAGTAAATAGTAGAGAGTGAGAATCAGACTAGCAGCAGAAAACCTCTCCATTACCCGCGCATGCCCTGAAACCTTAAGCTCATTCACACGCTGCTTTGATCACGCAGGGTTTGTGGAATTGGATCTTTACCACTTAGCCCCTGAACACTTAAGCAGCCTTGCTAATAGATCATCAACAGATATTCTTAGAATATGATATTCCAAGAATATTCCATACCTTGTAATGACCCAGTTTCATGGAAGTTGTTTCATACCTTTATTCAGCTCTGTAGGATCCATTGTGAAACGGGGAGACCAGAATTGCACTCTGTCTCCAACACTCTGCTGCACTCTGTCTCCAACATGCATGTGAACCACAGAGGTAGAGTGGGATATAATGTAACTCTCTCTAACCTGTATAGCAAGCCTTGGCTTTTTTTCATTACTATTTTTTTCTAAACCACTTCTAAGAAGATTTTTTAATGGATGACATTTTCAAGTCTCTCTTACAGCCCTAAGCTCTGAATTCTAACAGTCTTCCTTCTTATTCTACAGTTGATCAGTTTCCTTTAGAGGGTTTGATAAGGAACGACACTCAAACATTTTGGAAAATCTACCTATACTTTATCACCAGGTGTCTTTACACACTGTTGTTGATGCTTTTGAAGAACTTTGACAAAACTGTAAAATGTAACTCGTGTTTACAACAAAAACCCTGGACCCTCCTTGATGTATCCATGCCCCCTGGTTCTTGCCCGATTACCATTTCTAATCACTTGAATGGTACAAGCATCAGTTTTATGGGTCTATAAGCTTTTTAAAACAGAACAGGATCAACATCTGCTTTCTTCCAGCCCTAAGATATCAAAGCAATTTTAAGTAAGTCATCTACTGCGGTTCCTTTAGAACACCTGAGTAAATAGAAGAAACACCAGAATGTTTGATTGGTTAATTGCACAATCTTCTTTTTAGCCTTTACAGTCTGAGACAGAAATTCCAGTGAGTTCTCCATAAAATAGGATTCTGCCTTGTAAACCTCCCCATTTCCTCTATAATGAACACATATGAATAGTTCATTTAGCTTCTCTTTTATGGTTTTATTCTCTCTGAGTGGGCCTTTTGAACCCTGGTCATTTATTGGCTCTGCAGACTGTCTGTCAGGCTTCTTGCGCCCAGTATATTGAAGATAGGAATTACTGGTAGTATGCTTGACGTACTCTGTCAGCAGAAAGGTATTAGGATGTGAGCTTGTTCATTGTTTCTAAATAATAAGGAGCTGTTTTGTTTTTTTCGCTCCAGCTTGTAGGTAAATGTGATGTCAAAGCATTTCAAAATCTTCACTCGCAGATCGTAGATACTGCAAGCCAATGCAAGCTTCCAGGTATGTCATAGGCATCATCAGCTCTAAAAGTTCTGCCATTTTCGATGGTTTTTTACAATTGTAAAAAAAGACAAGATAAAAATGCAAGAGATGAAAACAGATAATAAAACCAGAAAGTTATTCTTCTGGGACCAAAAAAGCATTGCCTCTTAATGAAATATTACCACAGATTTTTTTCACTTCCAACAAATATTTCATATGCAGCTCAAAGTTACATTTTACCATTTGTATACTGCCCTATTTCTATGACACAAGGCTGATTGCTGACTCTCATTTGGAGATCAACAGCTGCAAACTCAGAAAGTATAACCCTTTGACATAAATTAAATCCTTTTCCACCACAAGGACAAGCGAGTTTATATTCCATTGTTTAAGTAAGTAACTTCTAACTTTCCAAAGAGCCCCAGCATATTCTTTCGAAAGCTAAAGGAGCTGAGGACTTCAAGATTTTGTCCAAAATTGGTAATTCACCTGTTGAAATGATCATCGTTTATTTCATATTGCATGGCTATATTCACATTTAATGTGTTAGAGGCTTTTATTTCCCCCCCCTAAATAAGTTACTTAGAGTTTCTAAGTTCATTACCATTAAACTCCCAAATAATTTTCTTGTGGTTACCTTTTACTCCAGCCTTCTGTTTGGACACAGATTATCACAGCTCCACAGCTTTAGAACAGGGAGTACAGTACTACTACATGTAGTAAGTACTGCATTCTCACCCATTCAGACTTGTTTATCTTCAAGAAATAATTATATTCTTCAACACATTCATTTGTTCCCAACAACATCATTTCACCTGATTCAGGTTCTTCCATACGTGTAGCTGTTCCCTCTCTTTATTTGCTAGCTACCTACAGCTGGTACCCGCCATTTGTGTTTCTATGAGAAGACTGTTGGTAAGTGTCCAACGTGACACTAGGTGTTGACACAGTGCTCTGCTCGATAACCGAGATACGATAATGCTGATCATATAAAACTCAAAGATACATTGGTTTCATTTGATAGACCCAAACACGAAGCGTTTCAGAAGGCAGGGGTTTATAACTGGTTTTCCCAGCCTTTATCTACATTGAATGTTTTATTCCTTAGATCTGAAATCTATTGGTTTCTTTCAGTTGAACACACGGAAATTCCTCGCACTGGTTGTCCAAAGACTATCCCAAAAGACAGTCCAGAACTGAAGGAACTACTGAAGGTTTCTATGGAGAAGTATAATTCAGAGAGCAACGATGATTTCTACTACAAAAGTGGAGAAATAAAAGCAGCAACAGTTCAGGTTGGGATATACCACAGAGATGAGGAACAGACATGGCAGTGTTATTGGTCTGAGCTGAATGTTAGCCAAAATTTGTATTTGTAATTATGTTTTTTGCTAAGTGTTGATACATGTGGCAACTGAAATACCCATGCAATTTTTCTTACAAGTGTTATCCATCTTCACTTGTTTTAGAAGTTTTTTAAAAATCTCCCATCTCTTGATTTTTTTTTTTAATTTTTCTTAAAACAACATAATTTTAAAAGCATGGGGAAAGGTTGACTTAGGGTATCTGATTTCTGTACTTCTTAACAGCCTTTGTAACATACCTTAGTCTTAAGTAGAAAAGTAGAAACTACTCATTTGATCCACCACACCAATACTCCTTAAGTTATTTTAAGCACTGTCCACCCTACATTAGGTTTAAACTCCAAGAAATGGGCCTTCCTAATTTCCCTTAGAAATCTGCTAATTTATATACTGATTCTGCTGCTAATAATACTGCAGCCAGACTCACAAGAGAACATCCATGCATAACTTAAGACATACAGATAAACACAACTGAATAGGCAGCAAGGAATCAAGAGGATAATTCTAGCCAGCAGTTACATTCGCTTTGTTTACTCTCCCAACATATCCAAACAGAGGTTTAGTGCAGAATTGTAAATAAGACAGTGGAGTCTTTCAGAAAATACTTTGTCAACAACTTCTCCTAAGCATGAGGGTACCACTGGAGAAGGCACGAAAAGCACACCAGTTTTTCTGAATAGCTCACGTTACCTTACTAATAATAGCTGTGCTTTTTCTTCTTTTAGACGTTTTTTCTTCTTTCAAACTTTTTTCTTCATTCTCACTTTTCATTTCATGATTGATATTAGCCTTCATACATTTTTAAAATAGACTTAAAAGAGACAGAATTTCATGTTTTGCCTGCTGTCTCTGAAACAAGATATATTATCTTGTGTTCTGTAAAAAACACTAAGAAAACCCATACCAGGCACATTCTTGAACCCATGCAGTTTCTCTCCTTAATACATTTGGCAAATATGTTCGTTTTCAACTGAGCCTGTTTGTCACACACTTAATTTTACTCACATTCCACTTTTCTTACATCATAGTTGGCTCTCTACAGCAGTGTCTCTAATGATTTCAGTTGTTATTAATGAAATTAGTACAGGCATCCAATAAAACAAAGCCAAAACTGTGGGCCTGATATTATTCTGACCTTCCTGTTCCCTTTCATTTCAATGCTGGAATTTTTGAGAATGGGAACTGGAGTAAATACGTAAGTTGATTAGAAGCAGATAGATTTTCTGCCAAATATTTGAATACTGTCCTTAACATATGATCTTCAAGTGGTCAGGACTTGTAGACTCTAAGTAGTCTAAGGTTGTAGAAAAACATCTTTCCTGTGAACCCTTTTCCATAAAATGCCTTTACCACAGGAAGCCTCCTTGCTGATTTTACAGGTGGATGCAGGACAAAATTACCATTTAACATTTTCAGTCTGGAAGACAAACTGCTCAAAGAAAGAGTTTGAAAAATTTAATGAAGACTGTGAAGCCATATTGGACAGTGTAAGTAACGATGATGTTGCCAACTGTAATGTTCTTCATGGACAAATTCATTTGCACTTTGCAAATATGTAAGCACTTAAGTAAAATCACATCCTGAGGTCTGTTACCTCTCTCAGTAAACTTTTGTTTCAACAAGATCACCTTTCACTACTTGTAAGCCAAGCCAGTGACAGTGGCAGTAAAACATGGAGCTTAAACTGAGTCATTCCAACTGCAAGATCAGTGCTCGATGCAAAGCAAAAGGAACTTTATTCTGATGATAATGACTCAAAGAGAGGAGGGGAGGAGGCTGAAATGAAATAGCTGCAATATTCCCAACACTGTGGACTTGGAGCTAAGGAAAACATGAGACTGGAGTGTTATTGGTGTGCAAACAAATCACGTTTCTAGAGCACATGCTGCTGATATCGGGGAAATGTGTTCCAGACACTGCAAAGCCATGCTGATAGGGCCAGAAACCATTGGCAAGGAAGCTGGTTGGGAAAGAGAGGCTTTATTTCCCCTCTCTTTTCCCACCATATGAACAGTGCTAACCTGTGAGATTTTAAATTTTTTTGGTACAGCAGGCACTGAAGAGAAAAAAAAAAAAAAAAGCGCCTTTCTCTCTGTCTCAGTTTCCCAATTTTTTTTAGTAGGAGAAATACCATCAACAAGCAACATTAGTTAGGAATATTATGGAGATTGAATAGTTAGTGCTCCGAAAGTGCTGGAGATGAAAGAAAAAAGAAAACCACCCACCAACAGGTCTTCAAGATCCAGTCTCCAATCAAAACCTGAATTAAAGTGTTCACAGAAGCATACTATAACTTCAAAAAGCTAAGCAGTGATATGTCCCAATACAGAAGTCTCCATCACTAAGGTGGATTTCAGATATTTGGGTGAAAGCTTCAAGTGTATTTGTATTTAGCAGTTTATTTAAAAAAAATTTTTTTTTTTTTCATGCACACCTCTCTTCCTTTGTGTCTAGTATTTTGTTGCCTTAACGTGTTGAATTTTTTTTTTTGTCAACAGGCACCACTGCCATGTGAAGCACAAATTCACGTGACCCTACAGGAGAATAAAACCTTTCCCCAGGTTAACTGCTCTAAAGAACGGTCAATGGTATGATGTCTCTTCATTACCCATCATCATAAGTAGAGCATAGAACAAGTGCAGTCATTACATTCTTTATCCCTTCCAAATGGTCCCATATTTTGTACCAAAACTAAAGGAACACATAGTTCTTTTAACAACCTCAGTAATGCCACACTCCTCCCTCTCACCCTCTAACCTCAGCAACTTGTTACATCAAAATCAGTTTGACCACAAGGCGAGACAGTGGCCAACACAGCGATTACAGAAATACAAAGGCAACAGGACAGAGAGAACATTCTGCCTGTTGACTACTCCTTTGCATTATCAGTTAAGCTCTGAAGTATCCAGCCACGTCAGCTCATTTGAATTACTGTTCATACTAGGTTTAAAAATTGAGACAAAAATGTACTTGACAATGCAATAACTATACCCCTCAGATATCAAAAGCATCTGTGAATCTTTTCATATTTAGTAGAGTAGCATATATCCTGCCACGAGCTGTCAATCTCTGCAGGAAGATCTTTCAGTTCCCCTCCTGCCCAGCCCTGAACATGGGCCTGTTTGAAAATTTCAGAATGGATTATACGTCTTTTTTATCAGAACTTTTTTAGTTCTGATGATTGCAGGTTTTTCAATAAATGCAGGGACTCCCACGGTCCCCAGTGAAGAAGAAAAGATAGGCTGAATAAAGTGAGATTGATTGACCTGCATTCATAATCAGTAACTTCACCGTGCTCAGCACCTTTATAACTACCTATTAATTCGTTATGTGTCAACTAATAAATGTCTCTCCACTGTTTTCACTACGATATTGTATTCACATCAACTTGCAAATTTAGCTCTGCCCCAAAAAACTCTGATTTGCAGAGAGATAATGATCAGACACTTTGGTGGATCAGAAATGAAACCCGTGCATTCAGTCTGTCTTCCAGTTGAACAGCGATGGGGAAACAGAGATTGCACAGTAACAACTGCATCTCTTATATCATCAGCTTTAACCTATATGTGTTATTTCTAAGCAGTCTTATGAAATTCATATGTCAAATCTAGAAAATAAATGGTTACATTTCCTATAAAAAATAATGCAGATGTTTTGTATATTCTGGAATTGAGACTACCCAGAGATGTGTTAGCCTTCAGCATGAATTGGTTTTATACATCAGATTTATACTCTAACAAGTGCAAAGACATTTAGTTCTAGAACTCAACTGTATTGTTCATAAATGGAAACTAGTACATGTTTTCCTCTCTGTAGTATCATTACCATGTCAAACTGGCAGAATTTCAGTGATGTAGTTGTTCTTTTAACATATAACTGCTAACATACTCCAGTGTTATTTGAGAGGATGTTTACATTTCCATGCCTATCACCGATAAAAAAGATCATTATTTAGTTTACTTTAAAAATTTGATAACATATTTGTGCTAAATGACTCATGTACTGCAATGAGCCACCTTCTGAACTTCCCAGATCTGAAGCTATTGTTCTTGTTCACATAGTATGCCTATTATTGCAATGTTTTTTAGGCTGTACTTCTAAGGCGGCCTCCTGGATTCACACCTTTCCGAAGCTTTGCTGCGCTAGCCCAGCCAAATGAAGTTTTGTGCTCTGATACAAATGAAGATGAGCAAAGACCTAGCAAAGAACCAGGAAAAGATGGTGGACAGGAACCAGAAGGTGAAGGTGAATCTGAGCATAAACACAGGCATAAACATGGGCATAAACACAGGCATGGACATAAAAAAGATCATGAGTCTGAAAGAAGGCATAGGCATGAAAATAGTTGTAGGCACAGAACTGGCGATGGGTGTGGGCATAAAAAACACAGTAAAAATGGTAAACACAAAGATCCAAAGCTCAGATCTTCTGAGGAGTCCAGTGAGAGGGGTTTTAATCAAAACGAAACCCTTTCATCATCCAGTGCTGAAACAGCGTCAGAGCTAGTTAAACCTGGGGTTGTGAGAAAGGAAACCACTACACCTGTAGAACCACTAGTTCTTCCTGATATTTCTTTATTTAATGGGTTGCCAGATCATGCAGAATCTCCTGCTCCCAGATGTCCTGGAAGACCATGGAAACGAATTATGGACCTTCCCAGAGAATTCACAAATGAGGATCTTTTGCCTTCTGCAGTAGAAAACATCAATCCAGCAACAGAAAACTCAACATCTCCCCAAAACATAGAGAAAGACCTTGATCTCTCAGATGCTTTACTGTAATTCCAACACTGTAGTATCCTTTTCAGAAATTATACATAGAAAAATGAGAAAAGTACTGCCTTTTGAAATGTATAAAATACGAAGAGGCAAAAGCTCCCATTCTGTTAGCTAAGATATTCAAGGAGGCCACCAGCACTTCTGTGGACCTGAGACCATATGGCAGTGCTCTGTATTTGCATATATTTGCAAAGATGTAATCAAGCAATGGCACCAGTGATTCCGAACAAGTCCAGTAAAGGAGCCCGGCAAGCCTTCTCCCGCAGAAATTAAAATTGTATCTTATCTGCCTCAAGTTGCTATAAGCACAAAGTAAATCATTGCCTCAAATCTCTCTGTATGGTGTTTAAAACAATGGCACAAAGAATTTTGCAGAGTACATGAAGAATTGCAACCAAACGCGGGTAAGAGAAAAGCAAACCAATATAGAGCACGGATGCCTTTCTTAGATAACTGAAATAGTATTTCTCTAATTCACTGGAGTGAATATTTTAAATAACAAAATAAAATAAAAGAACCTGTTTCACTTGTCGATTTCTTTAAAGAAATTATTATTACCACCAGTCAACCCCTAGCAGGCTGTTCTGCTGAATGCGATAACAGGGACAGCCAAGAGAATCCTAAATAAAGCAGCTTTATTATTCCCTGTGCGTATTACATTAACAACCCGGTAGAGGCACTATGATTGACAGATTTTCATGTGGCAGAGGTTCACAAATTTTACTGATCAGATGACAAAACTGCAAATGCTTGAGTTACCTAAAATTTGGCTGCCTTATTTCATTATTAGTTTGTTCTTACATTACAGACTGGACCGAATTTTTTATTCAGCGTATCTACCAAAGGTTGACTTTTTGGTGGGACATATTAGCTAAAAAGCACCAAATATTTCTGGCAAATTGAAATATGTTTTCCCTTTGCATGGATCCAGTAACTCATTCAGCTGGAAAAAAACACCCAGCAATAAATAAATACTCTAATGTCAGGTCAGTTCACCATCTTGAACGACTACCCAATCCCGTAAAAAGTTACTGAAAGCGAAAGGTGCTACAGATAGTGACACTTCATCGATCGTGCTGTAAAAGACCACAGTTTGAAGCCACAGTGTAAGTATCCTCCAGCAGAGCTGCGGAGACAGAAAGGATGTTCTCTAGATTGTTCATCCCAAGTGCTGGGATTGCTGTGGCACCAAGACTATATACTCAACAGCTGGGAACGTGTCCTCTTTTGTGTACCATGCTTCTATTGCCATCACCTTGCGGGCGAGGAAGAAGGAGGTAGGTGAAGACTTAGAGAATGTGAAACGGATCAACAGGATTAGGCGGTCTTGGCACAAAAGGTCCAGGAGGATCTTGAAAGAGAAGCTAGCTAGAAGGGAAGGTCAGAAGACACGGAAGTGGAAAGGACAGAGGCAGGGTGGAACACTATAGACAGGGGGAAAAGAAGAGGAAAACCCAGCAAAAATGGAAACAAGGTGAATGGGATGGAGGAGTGACATGGCACAGGAGTAAAAAAGGACAGGAACTGGAGAGGGGAGGTGGGAGCAAAAATAACAAGCAAGAGACTTGTGCGGGAAGATGTCTCCAGTCATGACAGGACAGTTCCCCCCCACATCACAGAACTGAACCTCCTGACTCTGAACATTCCCTGACAGCATAGGCACACTTCCCCTCTCCAGGGCCTGGTTCCTGCAGATGTGAACACCCTTCTGCATTCAGCCACTTCCCCAGCTCCCATGGCAAAAGACCATCCTGTGGACAAAAGAACTCAGTCCTGCTGATAACCCATGTTGAGGGAGAATGACTATGATTTTGCATGTGCAATTTATTTTTCTATGTGGTTTTTTTTTCCTAATTGCATTAAAACCTACATTAAAGTGATATTTTAAAAGTCATTGAGTCCAAAATTAAAAAATGTCCTCATCAGTGCAAATTCAGCCTATGTGCACCTGGACAGGTTTTTATCACAGTGTAATTGGCTGACATGTAGGCATCTATTAGATAGACAGACAGATAGATAATGATCTGTCATGACTGGTGATACATAATCAGATCCACTGCACTTCCTTTCTGGAAGCAAAGTTACCAATCTTAAAAAGTCATACAATTTAGCCGGAGCCCCATTTTAATGAAAGATATAAAAGTAGTAACTCCTGGATCTATCACTAATCAAACCCTGCATTTTTTGCTTTCATTCCTTTCCCTGCAGGATAACACGCAAAACCTATCTTTTCTTTTTAGCACATGACAAGCACTGAAATTACAAAGCTCGGCACAAGAAAGCCTTGAGAGTGATCTTTAGTTGTTTGCTTCTTTTCTTTTTTCTGACTACTGACTAGGATGATTCTGGCTATATCTGGGAATTCTCCATGTATGCTGTATTATTAAAAGGAGTTTAAGCTCAAAACAGTTATTCTTTAAGTTACTGTAGCAATTTAAGGAATTCATGCAAAATTACAATAAAAGGAATAAAGATGCAGAGATGAGAAAAACAAAGTTTTCTTCCCATCTGCGATCTCCCTCATCTGAATGACAAGGCAGTCACACCCCTGACACATTCTCCCTACAGAGCATAGGTACATGACTGCAAGCAGTGAGGCACAGCAGGGCAATAAAAGACAAGACTCCTAGATTCTTGACTGCCTTGAATTTACCACGTGCTATAGTGATGATCTGAGGTTTCATTAAAGTTTAATACAAAGACGACAACTTCAACTTTTTGTTTTTATAATGTACAAAAATAATTACTTTAAAGAAAGCATTCTGGAATAAAAATCAGTGTTCTAGTCTAAAAATTTTGAAACAGTATGTTCTGATATTTTTGGAACGGAACATTTCAATTTCTCATTGACATGTTCCCACAGCAAGTTTTAATTATAACTGATCAGCACTCCTGATAGAAAAATATGCTGTCAGAAATCTACTGACCAGGCCTGTTTCAGATCTGGTGCTGAAGAGCTCTGCAAAACTACCAGTTTCTCCTGCCCTTGGAATCGTGCTGGAGCACTCTTATCTGCTGCACCGCGGTGCTTAGCAAGTACTTTTCTCCTTGGGCAGCAGGTGGCAGATTTTTTCCTACGGGGTTTTTGTGATCTCCAAATTAGGGGTTTATGATTGCCAGGAAAGGTTTAGTAGGCTTTATATTCAGCGTTTCTTCTGGGTTAGTAATATTGTAGATGAAAACACCACATTTGTGCAATCTGGTTTCTATATTAAGCTCTATTAATAGAGCATTAAAAGTTTACCAGTTACTTATTATGAGCAATGTGTATAAATAACACTCTAAGTGTAATTTCACGAATATAAAAAATAATAGCTAGTCCTGCAGCAGAAAAATAGCATTCTTACTGATACGGATAATCGGCACTAGGGGTCTGGGGTATGAAAATATGTCTGAATTAAACCTCTGTTCACGATACCGCTGAGATAGAGAGCCACCTGATGGCCATTCTGCAGCTGTCTGGAGTTAATCTACTCTCCCTTGAGGTTCATTCTGTCTGTGACAATGAGACATAACATGTATTTTAACTGACATATGAGAAATTCCTCAGCTTTACTATGGATGGCCTATCAGATTTTTGCTATAATGCAGACATGACATAATCACACTCAGCAATTCCAATAATCCACTAATGCTACGTTCACATAGCGTAACTAGCCATGGGAGAGAGATGTGCTGGCATCTGACAACAGAAAAAGGGGAGAATTGATGATAAACACTGGCATTTGATAAAATGTATGAACCCATTTCTTTCCTTGTTTTCTCAGGTCTCTCAGCCAGCAAGATAATTGCTCCCAATTTAGGAGTATCAGTACTGAGGATAAAATAGGTCTAAGTGGCTACAGAACTAGAAATGACAACGCTGTGTGGCCATTGTCATATGGACAGAGCTGTACCCAATCCAGTGTACAAATTCCTCAAATATTCTTAAGAAAACAATGGGGGTTGATAATTTTAGTCCTGTGACCAGCTACTCACACGCAACTCCTAATTCTGCTGTGTTTACAAGACTACATTAGTATAATTCAGCTTCCACAGTTTTAATTAAGCTTTAAGTGAAGTTCGTTTGGTAAAATGTAACTAATAACACAATGTTTTTTACCATTTTCTAAAGTAAGAGGAAAGCTGCTTTAAAGAAGGAGGAGTGATTTTTTTCCTAATTGGGTAAAGCATCTTGCTACAATGAATACTGGCATTATTGCTGTTTCTGAACTGGTTTCAATCTGCTGCTCAGTGAAAACCCAGACGTAAGATCCAAAGGAGTAACTCCTATCAGTATGGAGTAACAGGGATTATAAACCTCACAGCAATTCTTTTATCTTCTGCCATAAATGCCGATAGTGCTGATCTAGGAGTTGAAGATCAGGCAGTGAGCTACCGGCTTCACACAGCAAACTACTTACCTTGCTGTTGCCGTTCAGAGAATCAACATTTCCCACAGAACCCAGAGTCATGCCAAGTAAGTATATTTGTTTTAAAACTTAGGAGCCTGAACCCAAAATATCTTTCATGAGAATTCACTGTATGAATTCAGTGGATGACTGTCCATCTTCCACTGGATGTACTTATCACAGGAACCCAAACAGACTGCTTGGCTTGGAACAAAAAAATAATTGAGCAAAAAGCAAGGGAGTGAACAAACAAAACTGATTAAGGCAGGGAATGAATGAGGAAGCACCTTTTATCCAGAGAGGATAGATTTTTAACTGAAACTTAGATTCCTATAAAAACTTGAAACAGTTGGGGTAGACAAGAATGGAGGATTATAGATTTCAGGGGGGAATATAATGCTCAGCAACGCAACAGCGGGACCTATAGCATGTTTAAAAAATACTTCGACCTATGTGCCCAAAACACTACAGTTCAGTACCTTGAAAAAGCCGCCAGACACATGTAAAGAAATTTAAACACTAAAGGAACATTGTTTTATTTCTTACTCTAACCCTTAAGCATGTCAGCAGAAGTTAATTCCTTGCCATTCAAACCAACAGAGAAAAGATTAA